CTAGCGAGCCATATATATGGCCGCCGTCTCTCGTTCTCTTCCTTTCCTCTTCGTACCACGTCTTGTAGTTAATCCTACACAATCTGATTTAAGTCCACCTCGTTACCGTGACAACACTACTGTCGCATTGAGTTGAGTGAAACTGTCTGCTTAAATACACGACTTCCCTTGGTATAAAGGTGACTATCGTTCCACTAATAGGAGAGAATGGCATGATGTTGAAAAAGCAAAGTGATGACAGGGTTCGTGCTAAGCGAGATAATATAGTTATGGTGGTGATGGTTGACAAAATCTCTTTCTTCTTTTCTCTTTCTTCTTTTCTTTTCTTTTTTTTCATTATGGAACGGTTTCTACGTCATCCTATGTCACGGTAACGAGGTGGACTTAAACCAAATAGTTAAGGATTAACTACAAGACGTGGTACGAAGAGGAAAGGAAGAGAACGAGAGGCGGCGGCCATATATACCGCTCAATCAGGTGCCAAGTAATAAGCGAATCAAGCAAACAAGTCGAAAATGCGACAACTAACAAATAGCAAACAAGTCGAACATGCGACAACTCACAAATAGCAAACAACAACAACAACAAAGACAACTATCAACTAGCGCTACCCGGAAGGGACGCGCCGGAAACCCGTGACAAGGAGCATTAGTCATATCTTTAGTCTTATTCTTGCTGGCTTTTCGCGGCCACGAAACCAAGGGAAAGATCAGGTTAGAAGATTAGACAGGGTGGGAAGAGTGTCAACATTCTACAGTTCGACTAGAAGCAGGTTCATCGCAGTAGAAATTATCGGGACGCTATAAACTTGGATACAATTCGTTTCGAGTATAGTCCTGGGCAGACTAAATAAAAAAGAGGTGCTTTTATAATTCTTCGGTTAATGCTGATCAACAACCCGGCCCGGTTGCCATCTCAACCCTAACGTCGCATAACCTCACGCAGGGAGCGAAGTAACAACAACACCAACAACGCGACGTAACGATACATCCCGCTCTCTTCACAATGAACCGTATCTCCGCTTGGTTGGATTCGCATCCTCTAAATCCCGAGGGCTACGATTGCGACGACCACTACCGTCAACGCCAACCTAAACGGCGTTGCCTCGGCGCCATGTCGCCGCGAGAAGGCCTCCGTCGCTCTCCACGCAAGCACGCATCTGCGCCCATCACGCCGCCGCTGCGTCCGCTTTCCGACGAAAAT